TCAATAAACACTGCTTAAATGAAGAAATGAAGTGGACAAACAACATAAACAGAGAAACAAGCAGACAGGTAAAGATAAAGGGATATGTTTATAATCACGTTTTTTCTGTGGACAGGATGGGTAGAGGGTGGGACAGAGCTTCCAAAGCATGATGACCTAATACCACATTCCTATCATGAGTACTAGGTGCTGTGGGTAGGACAGGATTGGCTGACCTCCCAGAATGAATACACTTTCATTGTGACCAGGATATCAGCCAGGTACCAGATATCACAAGATTGGCTCCAATGTGACCCTGAGGAGTATCTCAGGCTCATGTGCACAACCCACACTGTGGCTATCACAAACCATGTACGATCTGTGGCTGCTGATATTCGTTTCCAAACTTTTACTTTGACACATGGACTAACAATCACTTCTGTTGGCAAGGAACATGAAATGGGTGCTACCTGTATACCAAGTAGCCTCCAAGGGGCTTTTCCCAGGTTCCTAAGAGGCATAGTGAGTCTTCTACTCTGAATCTTTGAAATGTCAACATCACTAATGAACAATTGTTCAATGTGTTCCATTCCTTGTCATCTTCAGGTTTTTCTGAGATTTTGCTCTTGGACAACAAGTGTAGATATTTTCTAGATACATCAGCTGTGACCAAAGCAACAGCACCATTGATGACTAGCAGGCTGATTTTCAGAAGAGTTACAAGGAATGATCTGCTATGCCTGCCAAAGCACTCAAAAAGTACACAAGAGTGTACAATGCGTAGAGTGACTGCAATGGCTGGCCCAGATTCAAGAACGGAGAAACCAGTTATCCTCATCCAAATATAGGGCCCCTAGAAAGACACTTAGAAATTCAACACTCAAAAAACAATAAAGGGGATATCACCACCGATTCCACAGAAATACAAACTACCATCAGAGATTACTACAAGCAAGTCTTGTACACAAAAAAAGTAAACCTGGAAGAAAGAAATGGATAAATTCCTGGACACTTGCACCCTCCCAAGCCTAAACCAGGAAGAATTTGAAACCCTGAACAGACCAATAACAAGGGCTGAAGTTGAGGCAGCAATTAATAGCCTACCAACCAAAAAAAGCCCAGGCCCAGATGGGTTTACAGCCGAATTCTACCAGACATTCAAAGAGGAGCTGATACCACTCCCTCTGAAACTATTCCAAACAATACAAAAAGAGGAAATCCTTTCCAAATCATAAGATCAACATCATCCTGATACCCAAACCTGGCAGAGACTCAACATGAAAAGAAAACTTCAGGCCAATATCCATGATGAACATAGATGTAAAAATCTTCAATAAAATACTGGCAAACCCACTGCAACAGCACAACAAAAAGCTTATCCATCACAATCAAGTAGGCTTCATTCAAGTAGGGGATGCAAGGCTGGTTAAACAAATGCAAGTCTATAAATGTAATCCACCACATAAACAGAACCATAGACCAAAAAAACACGATTATCTCAATAGATGCAGAGAAGGCCTTTGACAAAATTCAACAGCCCTTTATGCTAAAAATTCTCAATAAACTAGGTATCAATGGAACGTATCTCAAAATCATGAAATCTATTTATGACAAACCCATAGCCAATATCATACTGAATGGGCAAAAACTGGAAGCACTCCCTTTGAAATCTGGCACTAGACAAGGATGCCCTCTCTCACCACTCCTATTCAATATAGTATTGGAAGTTCTATCCAGATAAATCTAGAAAGAAAAAGAAATGAAGAGTATTCAATTAGGAAAGGAGGAAGTCAAATTGTCTCTATTTGCAGATGACACAATTGTATATTTAGAAGACGCCATCATCTCAGCCCAAAATCTCCTGAAACTTATAAGCAACTTCAGCAAAGTCTGAAGATACAAAATTAATGTGCAGAAATCACAAGCATTCCTATACACCAATAACAAACTTAAAGAGAGCCAAATCAAGAACAAACTGCCATTCACAATTGCTACAAAGAGAATAAAATACCTAGGAATACAACTAACAAAGGATGTAAAGAACCTCTTCAAGGAGAACTATACACCACTGCTCAAGGAAATAAGAGTGGACACAAACAGATGGAAAAACATTCCATGCTCATGGTTAGGAAGAATCAATATTGTGAAAATGGCCATACTGCCCAAAGTAATTTATAGATTCAATGCTATCCCCATCAAGGTACCAATGACCTTCTTCACAGAACTGGAAAAAAAACACCTTAAACTTCATATGGAACCAAAAAAGAGCCTGCAAAGCCAAGTCAATTCTAAGTTAGAAAAACAAAACAGGAGGCATCACACTACTGGACTTCAAACTATACTGCAAGGCTACAGTAATCAAAACAGCATGGTACTGGTACCAAAACAGAGATATAGACCAATGGAACAGAACAGAGGCCTCGATGGCAACACCAGACACCTACAACCATCTGATCTTTGACAAACCTGACAAAAACAAGCAATGGGGAAAGAATTCCCTGTTTGATAAATGGTGTTGGGAAAACTGGCTAGCCACGTGCAGAAAGCAGAAACTGGACCCCTTCCTGACACCTTATACTCAAATTAACTCCAGGTGGATTAAAGACTTAAACATAAGACCTAACACCATAAAAACCCTAGAAGAAAACCTAGGCAAAACCATTTAGGATATAGGCATAGGCAAGGACTTCATGACTAAAACACCAAAAGCATTGGCAACAAAAGGCAAAATAGACAAATGTGATTTAATTAAACTCCAGAGCTTCTGAACAGCAAAAGAAACCATCATTAGTGTGAACTGGCAACCAACAGAATGGGAAAAAAAATTTTGCAATCTACGCATCTGACAAAGGGCTAATATACAGAATATACAAAGAACTGAAACAGATTTACAAGAGAAAAACAACCCCATTCAAAAGTGGGTGAAGGATATTAACAGACACTTTTCAAAAGACGACATTTATGTGGCCAACAAACATGAAAAAATGCTCATTACTGGCATTAGAGAAATGCAAATCAAAACCACATTGAGATACCATCTCACACCAGTTAGAATGGCGATCATTAAAAAAAATCTTGAGAAAACAGATGCGGGAGAGGATGTGGAGAAATAGGAATGCTTTTACACTGTTGGTGGGAGTGTAAATTAGTTCAACCATTGCAGAAGACAGTGTGGCGATTCCTCAAGGACCTAGAAATAGAAATTCCATTTGACCCAGCAATCCCATTACTCGGTAAATATCCAAAGGATTATTATAAAGACACATGCAAATGTTTGTTCATTGCAGCACTGTTTACAATAGCAAAGACCTGGAACCAGCCCAAATATCCATCGATGATAGACTGGACAAGGAAAAGGTGGCACATATACACCATGGAATACTATACAGCCACAAAAAACTATGAGTTTGTGTCCTTTGTAGGGACATGGATGAATCTGGAAACCATCATTCTAAGCAAACTGACATAAGAGCAGAAAACCAAACACCGCATGTTCTCACTCATAGGTGGGTACTGAGCAATGAGAACACATGGACACAGGGAGCAGAGCATCACACACTGGGGTCTGCTGTGGGGGGAATAGGGGAAGGACATCAGGGGGTAGGGAAGTTGGGGAGTCATAACATGGGGTGAAATACCAGATATAGGTGATGAGGGGATGGAGGCAGCAAACCACATTGCCATGTATATGCCTATCCAACAATCCTGCACGTTCTGCACATTTACCCCAGAACCTAAAGTGCAAGAAAATATATATTGAAAAAAAAAAAAGAAATTCAACACTCAATCGCAATGTCATGTGATAAGTTATATGATAGGGTTTTTAACTGAATGCTGCAGGGACACATAGAGGAGATAATGAGCCATACGGCAGGGGAAGATGCAGTATCAGGGGAAATAATTCCTGAAAAAGGTGGAATCTGAACTGAACCTAGAGATGTTGAGTTATGTGGGCAAAAACATTGCAGGAAGAGGCACAGAACATACAAAGACTCAAAAGAGTTCGACGGCACCATTTGCAGAGAACTGCAAGTAATTCTACATGGCTGGAAAACATGGTGTGAAGGGAAAATGAGATGACAGAGGCACAGCCAGGGTCTTAGGAAGGACCTTTTTAAAATAAGAATCAAGAAATTTACACTTTATCTTGAAGATGAAGGGAAACCACCGAAGACATTTTAAGCAAGCAGTACCATAGTAAAATTAGCATTAAAAAAAAAAAAAAAAAAAAAAAAAAAAAAAAAAAAAAAAAAAAAAAAAAAAAAAAAACTGTGGCAACAGTGTGGAGAACAGATTGGAGAGGAACAAAAGTCAAGAAGACAGGGGAACAGTTGAAGAAATTCTTGTGGAGGAGGATGGTGGCCTAAGAAAGCAGCACTCAGAACAGAGGGAAGATGTGTCAGACACAGCAAAGAGGTCTGGAGAGAACTCTCAAGACTTCACTGATTTATATGAAGGTGAGAAAAAGAAAGAACCAAGCATGACTCCTAGGCTGCAAGCTTGGATGTCTAAATGGAAAGACCTGCTGTTCACAGAGATAAAGAATAAGTCAACTCATATTTGAAAGTATAAAAAACAATGATACTGCACTAAATTTTAAAAAACTAACACAAAGGCAGAGCCTGCCTCAGAGAGTATGGATACATATCTCCAAGATAAATGAAAAACTTAAATTCAGAGAGAAGTCAGAGTTAAAGAAATTTCTGTCTAACATATGTTGATGAGTGAATAATCAAAGAATACAACAGAAGGCAATTCACTAACAAGAGAGCCATCTACTGCCTTATAAGCATAGTGCAGCAATGAAATGCCACCCAAAAAAAAAAAAAAAAAAAATGTGGAAGAAAGCCAGGCGTCTTTGACCACTTCACATTGAATGTGTTTTTACAAAGTTATCTGATTCCTCCCACAAGAAAATTCCAAGTGGTTAACATGTTTAATAGCTAAATGCTTTCACATAATTAATTTCTCCTAAAAACATCAATTCAATAGAAAACATAGTATGAAAATAAAACACTTACCTGCCATCATTGCTATCATACTGGCTTTGTAGACATTAGTAAGAGATCCAAGTTCTCCTGTTGCTAATATAGTTTTAAGATGAGCCTCCCCACAGGCCTTGCGAAACTGACGAATCTCATCATACAGGGCTGGGGAAGAAAATAATTGAGGCAGTTACAAAGCAGGCAAGTGATAACATAAGTTGGCAGCCGTTTAGAACTGGTAGAACCCATTTCACATTTAGGAAACATAAAACATTTGTCACTTTCTAAAAATCACCCCAATTTAACATTGCCTGGAGCATTCTGTTGCAGTTCACATCCTGTTACAGGGAATGCTTAGTTTGCTACCATGAAACCGTTTCTAAGCCCTGGCCTGAGGTCCAGAGACATAGAGCTTTTTAAATATCATGATAATGACATGCAAATTATAAATAATTTCTGTCGTCCATATGATGGTTGCTTCCAACAAAACACAAATGTAGCTACCATACGTACACTGGTGTACCACTTTGCAAAGTAATAAAAAAAAATCTTAGGTTCTTATTAATTCTTCCATTCATAAGTAATAGGTTCTTTGTTTGAAATATAATAAAGTACATCTTTCTTGAGGCTTATGTTAAGGACAACAAAGACATGCCAGCTTGCCCCACTACCTGCCAGAGTGTATCTATATATCTGACTAAAAAGTGTTGGGCCTGGCCAGGTAGTGTTGGACACGTGTACACAAAGCCATCTTTAGGGAAGCTCAGAGATGCTGCCTTGATTCTAATATCCCCTGACCCCATGACCCCAGTACCACATCTGGCTTTGGAGGGTTCCACATTGTGCCCAGATTTATTTCATATTTTATAATCAAGGTAACAATTTATATGAAAGGTAACAGGATTTTAGTAAGCAAATTAGACCAAAATCATGGGTATTAAATCTTTAAAAATTATTTAAGTCTTTTGTCAATGACACCAGTGAATTTTGGCTTTTACCCTGTATCAGGCTGGCCACTCTCATTTCTTAAACTCAGGCTACTGCTATGGTATTAGGACAAAGGCTTTTTCTTTCCTTTGTATTTGAGTATCTTTCATTAGGAAGTCGTTTTTTGGGTTTGCTTTTCTTTTTGTTTTTTTTGTGACAGAGTCTCACTCTTTCACCAGGTGCCAGGCTGGAGTGCAGTGGTGCAATTTCGGCTCACTGCAGCCTTGGCCTCCTGGCTTCAAGCAATTCTCCTGCCTCAGCCTCCTGAGTAGCTGGGACTACAGGCACATGCCACCACACCCAGCTAATTGTTGTATTTTAGTTAGAGACGGGGTTTCATTATGTTGGCCAGGATGGTCTCAATCTCTTGACCTCATGATCCACCCACCTAAGCCTCCCAAAGTGCTGGGATTACGGGCGTGAGCCACTCCGCCCGGCCGGAAGTAGTTTTATGAGCACAAACCAAGCAGGAGGGAAACATTCACAATAAGCGTTGGGATAAGCATTTCTTAAAGCTAAAATGAGAGTTCTGTAAAGCATAGGTTGACTAAAGTCCATTAAAAAGATGCATAATTAGCCTCAGTTAACAAACTCAGTTAAAACCACAAGAGCTGTAACAACCAAATAAAACTTGTCTTCTCAATACTAGAAAACATGAATTTAACTTCAAGCTCAGAAGTGAAAAATGAAGAGAAACGAAAGCAAATATTCTATTCCAAGATGCTCAGTAAGTTTAGAAAGTTTGTTACCACTGAGAGACGGTACCCACAGAAGGCTCTTCAATAAAGAACAGAGGATTTTCACACATCCTTAGTAACGTGCAGTTCTGAGTACTAGGGATGATCTGAGGTGCCACACCACCTACCTTACCCTGCCCGTCCACCTAACCTGGGAGAAAATCATCCTACTTATGCCTGCCTCCAATATGACAGCCTGTGTAAGAATGTTAGAAATAGTAATAGACTATGTAGCAATAAAAATTTATATTCTTTTAACTCAGAGAATGAATTGGATGGAATGACATTTCTTGAGTTACCGAATCTAAAAAAAGAAAGTTGTTCTGTAAGAACAAGTGACAAGGAAATCTCCTGATCTAAAAATCCAAGAATGCTATTCCAAGTTAACTTGTGATTTAATTAATGATTTTCTTCCACAATACAGTGTTGCCATTAAAAGCAGGATTTAGAGTCAGACAAATGCAGATTTAAAACCTAACTCCATCATTTTCTGTGAGACCTTAGGCAAATTTATTTCTCTCCGTATCAGTTCCATTCTTAAAGTATCAATAATATTTACAGAGTTAGTTGGATTAAGAGAGAGAGATACAAAGTACTTTGCATACTGCCTGACGTTACAAGCACTCAAAAAGTTTAATTATATTAAGTTCAGAATTCTAGTAAAATGAATTTCCATTAAGTGTTATGTTCTAAAAGTTAAATCCTATTTCATGGCCTGACCCACACTTCCTTGTACTGAACCCAAATTCTGTTGTATGGATTAGTGCTTACAATCAGAGGGCCATCAGACAAGGCTTGAAAGTATTTTATTACAGCAGTTGTTAAAGTTAACTTTGGCCTGTAAAACAAATTCTTAAAACACTGATTGCAACCATACTTGTGAACAAAAAAAACACCATCCTTTTTCTAGAGTACTACCTTCTGATGCCCAGTGAATTTCCTAAAGTATAGTTAAAATTAACCAGGAAAACCAGAGGTATTTTATGACTCAGTCATTTGGAGGCTATGCTCTTTAATCCATGATCCAAACAAAATGAGCCAAAAGTGGTCACTTAGAGCATAACTGGATTTACAAATATGCAACCAATGCCTTCTCATTCTTTAACTGCCAATTTCTAAAATCATTTTACTGATCTATTTTACTACATAACAGAAGAAAGTTTTTCTGAGAAAACATCTTAATCCTTAAGGTTCAACAGGTGGGAAGTTGTCATTTCTTGCTGTTACACACCCAAAATATACTAGAACAATTAAATCAAAAGTTATACCAAATCTAGTCTTTTTTTTTTTTTTTGAGACAGAGTCTCACTTTGTCACCAGGCTGGAGTACAGTGGTATAATCTTGGCTCACTGCAACCTCCGCCTTTCAGGTTCAAGTGATTCTCCTGCCTCAGCCTCCTGAGTAGCTGGGACTACAGGTACTAGCCACCACGCCCCCAGCTAATTTTTGGTTTTTCAGTAGAGACGGGGTTTCAACAGGTTGGCCAGGATGGTCTCAATCTCTTGACCTCGTGATCTGTCCGCCTTGGCCTCCCAAAATGATGAGACTACAGGGGTGAGCCACTGTGCCCAGCCCCAAATCTGGTCTTTTTTAAATGTGACGTGGCTCTATCAAGTGACTGCTTCTGCCCAGGTCTTTGAATCTTAGAGTGAGGCAAAGATGAAAGAATAGATATTTTCTTCATTATTGTGGCATCAGCAATAGCAAGAGATCCAAAAGTCCAGTGTCCCAAGGGCCAGCCACCAGTCAACAGTGTGGTACCTGTGCTGGCCAGTAGGAGCAGCACCAGCAATGGCCCTGGGACCAAACTCTTCCTGTGGTACGATCTGGCTGCGTACATCGCTGGTCCTTATTCTCTCATGGTCCTGCTTTTTTTCCAAGCAAGGCTTCATACTTATTCAGTGAGTGCCTTTATGTCTTCCTAATAAATCCCCTTTCAGCTTAACTTAATCAGAATTAGTTTTATTCATTTCCAACTCATGAATTGTTTACTGAAGAAGCATGGTATTGTAGACAATACAGTATGGTATTGCAGACAATAATGCAGGTTATCCTGAGCACATGGATTCAGATCTCAGCTCTACTACTAATTTATTGTTTGATTTGGGTTACTTAACTCTAAACATGTGTCCCAGGTTTGTCATTTACAAAATAGAAATGATAGAAGTATGCACACCTCATGGAGTTATTTTGAGCATCAAACAGGTTAATATACACAAATTGATAAAAACAAACAATATCCAGTACATGGTTCATGCTCAAAGGATGTCAGCTCCTGTTTTCAAAGCTGGTGGTAGCGGTGATGGCTTTACTGCTATTACTCAGGGCTCATCAGGCTCAGATTACAGAGGGACTTACAAAAGCAGAGGACATCATGATCTATGTTCCTTAAAGAAGATAAAACAAAACCTCTTTGGGGCCCTAAAAAAATAGTCTGGGGGGGAAAAGTTTACTATATATCACAAACAAGTTTGTTTTTAAGCCAAGAACCCATGCTACTTTGAATAGTGCAGACTCTTGAGACAACGACAGTTTTTGCTGCTCGCTAGTTGTGTAAACATTTAGGAATTATTCAATTTCTCTAAGCCTAATTACTTAGGGAGGCTCAGTTTGCTCACATGTTTTTGTGATGATTAAATAATACATGTGGCTAGAGCAGAACCAGGCATTTAGTAGGCATTTAATCATTTAATACTAGCTTCCCATATTTTTCCTTATACACTTCCAGAAACCCAAAAATAACTTTTATGGACAAAAACAAAAGCAACCACTGTCCTAATGCTTATGAAAGCACAACTAGAATTTGCAGACCTTACATATAATAAAAAATAGACCACTTCACTCTAACACAAACCAGAGAGACCACAAAGAAGGTTGTTAGTCTTCAGGTCGTTTTGAGCACGTTTACAGTACCATGATAGACACCTGGAAACTAGATGAATGACATATGCTAATCAAAGAGGCTTGATGACTGAAATGTAACCCAGTCAATCTCAAATTATGTCCTTTAACAAACTCAGCTGGCACCTTCAATATAAATGAGCCACACAATGGACAAACGAATGGGTAGGTTTTACCCTATGTTCGTAGGAAAGGACAAATGGTGGGGTGTGGAGTTATTATAACTGCTGCTAGACCACACACACACAGACAAAATTACAAGTGAAGTAATAAGTTCAACAGATGCCCGGTGGGGTGTGGAGTTATTATAACTGCTGCTAGACCACACACACACAGACAAAATTACAAGTGAAGTAATAAGTTCAACAGATGCCCGGTGGGGTGTGGAGTTATTATAACTGCTGCTAGACCACACACACACAGACAAAATTACAAGTGAAGTAATAAGTTCAACAGATGCCCTTTCCAAAAATTTTTTCATGAGGAGTAATTACTCTAGAGGATGAGAAATCCCCTAGGTTTTCAAAGCTTCTTCCCTC